TGATTCTGAAAAACAAGCCACTGTGGGAATCTCAATGTGGAATCTAACTTCAGGTTCCCACTTAAAAGGTGGGAAGTTACCACTTTCACCTGGTAAGTGAAAACTCTGGAGATTTTAAGAATTAACGCAGGATAAAAAGCACAAAGTAAATACTATTTAATAATTAATTAATATTTAATAATTAATACTTAAATACTAAGTATTGTGGGCAGTGTTCATCAAGCAAGAGCAAACTTCAGTAATCCTGCAGAAAGAATTCTGCTACAGTGCATTCCAGGTAATTTCCTTGATATTTTGATATCTAACATGGCAGCATTTGCTATTGAAGGATTTTCACAGTTTCTCATCTCTTCATTGCAAGTTCAAACAGCTTGGAAGTAAAATAAATTCATCTTTTTTTTATTTTCTAAGATAAGCCTCAAATCGATTTCATCAAACATCAACAACATTCCTTACTGAATTACACTGTTGGAGGAACATCCTCTATCTGTTCCACCCAACCATTTTTGGGTTCAGTGTTCTGAAATTTCCAGTTGGTGCTGGCTTCTCTTTAAATAAATGACTGAAAAGAGAACAGGGAAAAACAAAATAAGGAAGGCATTTCTTCCGGTACAAATTATTAGATATAAAGTGAGCAATCTCTTAGGAGAAAAACAGCACATGAATTTTTATTAGCAGTAAAGACAAGAGTTCCATTCTGACTTACCTGGCAAAGTTCAGAACATTGCAACACACTATTTAAGTGCTCACCCTGTCCAACCTGGAAATATTTTCTCTGTGGACACAGGCCAGGCTTTCCCCATCCTTTCTTCACTGCAAGCACGTTCTTTTTCTCAAGTAATATTGTGAAATTTTGACAGCATTTTTGCTGTTCGTCTTCCAGGCCCTGCTAAAACTTCCTTAGTGTTAAGGACAGGAATATTTTCTGTGTTGCTTCATCAATTATTTCTTGAATGCTCTGAATGACAGCACAAAGTATCACTCAAGTGACTTATGGAACAAAAGAAAAATCATTGAACTCGTTGGTTGCAAATTGGTGCTCTAAATTGTCTTTTCAGAACTGCAGTTCTACTTACAGATAAATAAGTAAAATACTTTTACTGCATCCAGTTTCTCTTTTACTGATTAAGGAGAAATAGTGTAACTTGGATCCTGGCTTTAAAAGCCTAATGGGGCATGAAATAAATAGCTCTCATGACAGCACAGAACGGAAAAAAGAAAGATGATTATTAAACTGTGTGTAAAAGTCCTCTTTATTGCTCTATTGTTGTTTTGGCTTCGTTCTGAGACGTGGGGAAGGCTACAGAAAAGCCTAAGCATGTTTCTTGGCAGCTCTTCAGAAGCACTGAGCCCTGCGGAAAGCCCCGTGAAATTCAGGGTTTTGCTGAAAAATAAGACCAGGAAAATGTTGCATGAGGCAAAAAAAAAAAAGTTTTGTTGCGGTTTCTTAAGACAACAATCAGTGCTGGTGAAGGGGAGAAGGAGGTAGTTTCAAAAGGGCAGAATACCTTGGTTATTGTTTGGAGATTTATTTTTTTTTCCTTTTTTTTGGTAATTCATGAGTCAGCAGCAATGGCAGATCCACCTGTTACTGTTCCACCTCTCAGTATACCTTGGTTCCAGTCTGAAAATTGCAATTTTTTTTTGTTTGTGGTAGATCAGAGTACTTCCTTCATTATTTAGGATTGAAAAATGCCTCACTGATTAAAAAAGAAATATAGCTGTGGTTTCCCAGTCCATTTTATACAAGCACTTCAGAAACCTGTGCGTACCCAAAGTGGGGCTCTGATTTGAGAACGTGTGGGAGAGAGGAAAATGGGGAGGTTGGATTGTTTTCTATGTTTGGGAAAGCGTTACACTGAAGTTTTCTCTTGCTTTAGCACGATCAAATATCTTCCACGAAGACAATCAGTGCTGCTAGGAGCTGGCCTAGGATGAATGTCCAGTTTGTCTTTGGGTTCACATAACTATCCAGTGAGAAACTTGGACTGGACTTTTCATTGCTGCACAGAGAAGCAGCTCTGTGTCACTCCAAAAAAACAGAGGATCAGATTTTTCCTCTGATACTGACATTAAAGCAACCAATGACTGTTGCACTCTCAGGTCTGAGGGCAGATTTTTTTGGCCCAGATATTTTCTGAGTGAATAAAATATGGGAGAGAAAGACTTTGTGTAGCTGGTGCCTTTGGTTTTTTATTTTCAGAGAGTGTTTTATTTCCCTGGCATGCTTTCTCCAGTGTCTACTGAACACTGGTGGGGCCTGAAATAATGACCCAGAAGTATTCTCTTCCTGAGATGAGGCTGCTCTAGTTGCAAGGCGTTCCCAAGTGAACTCCCTAATGAGTGATAGATGGGAAAAATAACAGGAAGGATCCTTAAATGTTCCAAGTTTTGCATGAAAAATATCATTTTTTTGGATGCTGTGTTTGGTACCTAGCCTAGAATTCTCCTACATTTTGATAGTGGTGTCTTCAGAATGACACAGTGAGTCATAATATTTGACATTTGGGGAGATTTTTACTGGATCTCTAAGCACTTGTCAAGACTGTTCAGAAGAATACTTTAAGAAGAATTATGATTTCCTTTGAGAGTTTTGAAACTGTTCATATTTTTTAAAGCCTGTTTCCTTTTCCTCAAAACAAAGCAAAACAAAAAAAGAAACTTCAAAAGTATGTGTTGACCATTTTTAGTGAGAGCATAGTTGAAGGCATCTATCCACGCTGTACTCAGGTATTAAATGGTCTTCCAAAAATATTTCCAGCTTTAGCTTATTGAGTCCTTTTAATGTCACCAACCAATTAGGTTTTTTTCATGTTTATTTTCACATAAGATTCGTAGCACCCAAGGGACATGGGGAATTCTGAGATGACAAACTGGAAGTTGTTCCAAGCATCAGAGCAAGGTCTGACCTGCTGTTTTTCAGGTCCAAGGGAGCCCCTTTGCTTGTTAGTATTTGGGAGGGTTGGTGGCCTGTGGATCTGGTGGTTGCATTAAAGACCTGTCTCCAGTTCTGCCACCTCAGAGTGTTAAAATAGCTGTCCCCAGTGACAGAGGGCTTTATTGTGGCAAGACCTGAGCATCTCCAGTTGCTTCTGAGGAGCAATAAAGTACAGTGGCAAACCTCAAGGCCAGTGAATGATCTGTTTCCCTGGTTCCCATGGATCTGCAGTGTTCAGTTTAACTGGCATTTCCCCTTTCCTGAGCTGGATACCTTCATTACATTTGGCCAGGATTTATCCAGGGTTGTAAAAAGACTTGGTAGTATTTCACAGTGGTGACTTCCTGGGTTTCCTTGGCTCCAGATGGAACTGGGTGTCTTATAACTGATACTATGAACAATAAACTGCAGGTTGCCATGTCAGACCTCTCCAGTATTGCCAAACCCATCCCACTAGTGAGTCATGAAGGGGGTGTGTGGCACATGAATACAGGGTTTGTGCTGGTGGTGCCCCCTCTCATGCCTTGTATTCTCACTCCACTGTCTCATTTATGCCTGAGAGCTCTCAGAAGAAGGCACAGCAGATATTCCATGTTTGAAACGCACAAAAACAATTGGGTAATTTTTGCAAACACATCTTATACTTCCCTTCTAATATGAAGAGTTTTATCAAGAGAGATGTAGCTTGTACTGTAGGGAGGCTGGACATGTGGGAGAAATAACCTGACTGAGCATTAGCAGCTGGGGGAGTTAACAACTTAAACCATACCTATCAGCACCAGAGTCATCCTCAAAATTGTGCTCTCAGACACCCCTGCCAGATCACAAAACTGATAAGAGATGAATGGTTCTGATTTGCATTTTCCATCTGAATTTTGACCTTTGTGGTTTGCTTGGCTTGTGTTTTCAAGTGTTTCTCCGTAGCCACTGGAGTGTAGAGAAATGTAAGGGGTTTTTGAGTTTCTTCCAAGGCAGGTGGAGCTGCAGCTCCGTGAAAACACCCCAGAACATTGCCAGCCCTCCAGTGCCTCCCACGTTATCCTTTTTCCCACACTGTCCACATGGCCTGTTTGCTTATGTGATGGTATGTGCTGTGTATAGGCACAGAAAATATGTATAACCCTGAAACCCTGCAGATGTGCTCTTCTGATAGAGCTGCACAGGGGACTTTGGGACTGTAGCTTTTGAGGGTTTCCATGTTGGGACTACCTGACCTTTGCTTTTCCTGCAAGGCTTTGGGAGGTGTGGGGTAGGTTGGATTCTGGGGAAGGCAAAGATTTCTGTGGTCTTTGGCTGGATCTCAAATCCTGGGGTACTGAAGTGTGACCTAATAATTTAGGACTCAGAGAAGGATTGTATTTAAATAAACTATCTGGGTTTGAACATTCTGCAACTATTAATTATTAAAATTTATACAAATCCAGGGAGGTTCATGGCATGTTACACACCATACCTAGAAACAGCTGAGCTGAGCTTACATGTGATGGATTTTTTTTTTTCTGAAAAGACATCATCTCCTGTGAGCACAATAGAGCTAGTACTTCTCTTATAAATAGTGAATGTTTTATAATTGCATGCAGCCCTAAAGCTGGTTCCTATTATGGAGAGTCACAGAGGTTCGGGGGGGAGACTTTGTGGGTTGTTTTTCTTCTGCAGAATGATGTCCAATTGACTCCTTTGGCAGAGTATTAACTATGGCTAAAATATGTGTCCATGTGAAAATGTTACGGTCTAATGAGCAACTTCACTTTTGTGTCACTTTCTTGCTTTGAAATAAGAGGTTCTGGGTCAGGAACTGCCCATTTGATCCCTTGTCTGTCTCCAAGTGGAGTGTACATGTCAGTACTTTTTATACCAACCTTTCAAACCCATGTGATAGAAACACTGTGGTCGCTGTAGGTCAAAGGAGCCCAATTTAATGAAGTCTCAACAAGTTGTATTGTCACTTCCTGCTGAACTACTGAGCTGTCTCCAGTGAGGGAGATTGGCCATCCCTGGATACCGTGGGTGTTCAGGGCTGTCCAAGTTGTGTTACAGCTTTATTGCTTTTCTTTTTCCTCAGGTGAACTGTGTGATGAGGTGATCAACCACTGTGTTCCTGACCTAAACCCCTGCCAACATGAGTCCAAATGTGTTCCCCTTGACAAAGGAACCAGGTGAGCGTGTGTTGGTCTCTGCACACTGGGAAAATCCACCCATTGGCTTGGCTGGGGTAGAACTGGCAACGAGTTGGGGGCAAAAATAATCAAATTTAACACAAATAATGCAAGACTATATATGCTTCAGACCATGTCACATTTTATCTTTAGTATGAATACATACATACTTTTCTAGCTTTCTGTGGTTTACTTGAAAATAGTGGATGTACCCTCAGAGCAGAGAAATTATTCTGGAAGAGAGCCTGAAAAGGAGAATTTATAGAACAGTCACTGCAGAGTATCTTAACCTGCATCAGAAAACAAGGACAGTTTCCTTATGTGTTCCTTAGTGCATTTAGAAATTCAAGCAGCATAACAGGAGCCTTAACAAATCCAGAGCTGGATGGCTCTCACTCAGGAGTCACCTTTTCCATTGGCCTTGCTTGGTTCTTCTGGGATTTGGTGAAGTCTGTGTTTGCATTTGCCTTTTGGGAATGACCTGCCTGTTTCACAGGGGCAAAATAAAGGCTCGTGTTTTAAGTGGCAGTAAAACATCTGGAGGGTTGGGGAGTTTTGAGAGGTGCATAGTAGCAGTGTTCATCCCTTGTGTGAAGAGGGAATTTCAGAGCAATTTAGCAAATGGAGACAGCCAATTGAAAAGTCAAGCTCTGTGGAAAGCTTGTCAGGAAAAGATCTTTGAATCAAAATAAGAAGGAGAGACAAATCCAGGAGAGTGCAGTGCAGTGTGAGCTGCATTCTGCACCTTCCCCTAAGGTTGTTCTCCCAGTCATCATTCAGTCCTGGGTGCTCCCTCCTGGGATTTTGTGGAGCACACACAGTATGTCCCAGGAGAGGGATGGTAGCACTCTTTGGTCTTCCTGGTAACTCACAGTTGGGGTCAGATTGTGTCCTGTGAAGCCACCAGATTGTCAGAACAGTATAAACTGATACACAGGACATTTCAGGAGAGCTAAAAGGAAATGAACCAAAATTTTAGAGATGGTGGCCAGCTGGACAGTCCAGCCTTTCTTTTGGGTGAAAAGCCTCCAGATAGAAATGTTTCCAAATCTTGAGAAAGATGAAGCTATTAAATGATGAGGGTGGTTCCTGAAATTATGTACAGGATAAGGAGCTGTGTGCTGGTACACAAATAGTCCCTGATGCTCTTTGCAGGTTTCATTCCTTGTTAATCCAACCTTTGGTTAATCCAGTAGCTGCATCATGTTATGAGATGAAGGAGGGGATGGAGACAGCTGTGGCCCTGAATGGTTTTACTCTTGCTGCAAGCATTTCCATACCTGCCACCCAAATAACTGGAGAAAATAAGACACTTTTTTTCACATGCTTGCTAGAAAAGTGTTCTTCACAGTGGGGCCATTAACCCTTGAGGGGAGCCTAAATAACTACTTATAATTATTTTTCTAAATATAGCAAAACTATATAAAAATAATATAGAAAAAACTATATTTAGTTTTTATAAATTTAGAAAAAATTATATTTTTCCATACTGTTTGTCCATACTGTGTGTCCACTATTTGTAGAATGCTACAGAAAAATCCCTGATTTCTTTACTGCTCCTCTCCCATTTTGCTTTTTAGCAGCCAGAATTGAGAGGTGAAGGAGCCTGCCCAGCCTTGAATGTAGAGTTGTGCAAGTATTGCTATTTCTTTCATGCTTTAGTGGCACCAAACCGTTCAGAAATGGGCTGAGAGCCCTCAGCAGTTTTGCAGTGAGGTGTGTGTGCTGCTGGGGCTCACTGAAATCAGCAGCCTCTGCTCCTGTGCTGTAGCTGATCCCTTGGGCAGCCTGATCTCCTGACCTGGGGTGTTCCATCCATTTAGGGTGTCGTGGTGCAGGATAATGCTGCAGGCAGAAGGAGTCAAGCTCAGGTGCCTCTGTCTGCTTCCAGAGGCAGGGAATGTTAATGGCAGGATTCAGGCTTGTTCCTGAGCTGTTTGTGCCCTGGGCATGTGAGTAGGACACACCAGTGAGGGATATCATGGCAGCAAGGACAGTCTGTCTGTCCTGCCCTCAACTCTAGTCAGTCGACAACTCTGCAGAGGGAAGAAAAGATGACAAAGACAGGAAAAAAATAGGAAGCCAAGTTATTTATTGATCTGGGGAGGGAAATTCCATCCTGGCCCTGCAATAGAAGCCATGATTCAGGGCTTTAAGGCAACAGACATTGAATGCAGATGCAAATGCCAACATTTTCAATACCACTGGACGTGTTTTTAGGCTCTCTCTGGTACTGGGAATGTTGCCATCACCACAAAGCTGTAACAGAAAACAAGATTTCAACGGTAGTGGTGTCAGATGGTCACTGGGAAATGAGATAACTGATCTAATCATGTAAATTACTCTCTTACCAGCATTTGAACATGAAGGTTTCTTTGCCACGTTCTTTACTGCATCAGACTTTTACTGATTGATACCTAGTCCCTTGCTGGCACTGTGTGGGATAAGGATGGAGCTATCATGCCATCATTCCCTGGTGGGGGGAGACCTTGGTTTTCTGGGAAAAGTCTGGGTAAGGAACTCATGGGGCTGAATTTCTCACCTGCTACACTCCAGGCAGGAATTTTGTGGTAGCTTCAACCTAGATGTGACACACCAAGAGCTCAGAGGAGACTGACACAAAAGGAATTCCATGTTTCTAAAGGAAAAACCAAGTTTGGAAGCAAACTGGACTATTTCAGTGTCTCTCTGGCTGCACAGAGCTCTTTGCTTTCTGAGCTAAAATTGCAGGTGGCTTTTCTCCCTTCCAACCTCCATAACTTTATTGTGCTGTTACTATAGAAGAAGAGTAGCTTTCTGTATGCCAGAAAACAAAACAAAACAAAAATCAACCAAAAAATACCATTTAACACAATGAAATTACTTCCAAAAAAAAACACTTCAGAAAAGGAGCATGTTTTTCCATTCACTGTATTGATGTTGGAGCATGGTATAAATATAGTTTATTATTCTAAAGCTTGGAATTATTACCTGACAGCTTAAAATGCTGATTTAATGCAGCCCTGCAGAGAAAAGTGGTGGTTCTGTCATTACTGAGATAGCCAATACACATCATAAAATTGATGCATGGCAGCCCTGTATAAGGAACTGCACATCGTTCATTATTACATCACTTTATATTAGGACTGCAGGGATCAATAAAAAGCAACAGGATTAAATGCTGCCAATTCTCCTCACAAAGTCCTTTGATTGACATTATTTCCTTGCAGGTGTGACTGCAGTGCTGCCAGAAAATGCTGCCCACTTCTTAGGGTTTGGGGAAGGAACACCTTTTGCTTTTTGTTCTGTTTTGTCATCTCCCTTATGTTAATCACAGTATTCCCTGAGCCAGCAGGGTGTAAAAAAAGCAATTCAGGTGTGCAGAGCTGGGACATCAACCCTCCTGTGGCTGTGGAGGGTTGTGGTGGGGCCTCTCCTGCAGGGAGGGTGGAGACAAGAAGTGTATGGATCTGCCCAAGCTTATCCACCTGACAGCCACAGATCCACAGGCTTTGCTCCCCTGTTTTAGCCAGTCATGAGGCACATTTTGAAGTGGAGACTGAAGGTCACGTTCTCAGTGGCTGCTGTAGCCCTGATGCTGTGGCAGCTGCTCCCTGGCCATTGGCACACACAGGACACCCTGCTGCACTCTGGCAAGTGCCACCCACCTCACTGCCTTGCCCTGGTGAGCTGGGGAGTGGTCAGGAGCCACACACTATCACTGGGAACCAGAGTCAGCACAGTGACTGCTGCCTGCAAAGTGGAAATATTTATCCTCATCACTCCCATGTGTCCAGTTCTTCTGAAGAAGTTTTGCACAAGGTGCTTCCTCCTGCCCTTACCCCACCAGGCAGCTGGCAGGGAGGAGGAGGAGGAATAGATTGATGGAGCAGTAGTTTTGCTCTTGGTGCTGCCTCCCTCAACTTTATAGTGTCTCTCCTCTTCCAGCTCTCGGTGGCAGGCACTCTGAGTCCAACCATGAGGCTCTAGCAAGAGCACAGACCTCTCTTTTATTGCTAAATTAACTGTAGTTCTTCCCTTGTCTTGGTTGAAGTGGTTTGCCTTTTGTTTTCCAGATGTGCAACAACATCCAACTGGGAGGAGTAAAACGTGTTTTATGGACTAAAGAGTGTTCATGACTAAACATTGTCTGCAGTATAGATTCAAAAAAAAAAGGCTGCTCAGCAATCCCAAAAGATCTGATCCAACTCAGGGACTTAGGGATGCATTTTCTATTGTTGGGTTATAAACTTCTGCAAGACTTATAAATAGAAATGCTGATGCAGCCTTCGTACAGCAAACTTGAGAATTGCATAAAATAAAACCAAAAGGCAATGTCTACAGGCTTGGGTACATCCCATGGTGATGCTCCTGTGAACAGTGTTCCCCCACAGCAGCAGGTACAGGCTTTGCCTGAGTGTCACCATGGGAAAGGACAGGCTGCAAAGACAACTTTCCATAGTTGCAGCAGCATTTTGCCTTGCAGTTGAATGGCAAACAGGTGGTGGTCTCACAACCAATGGTCTTTTCCTTTAAATTTGCTGAATTTTATGACCTGTTTGCAGATTGCTTCCATTTGGAAGGCAGGACCTTCCTGAGCTCCGTGGAGCTGCACAGGGCCAACCTCAGACACTCAGCACCAGCAGAATCACAGTCTGGGGCACCAGAGCCACTGCCCTGGCAGAATGTTGCCCTTTGAGTCTTCGAGGTTAGGGAAGATGCTGTCATCTTTAGCAGAATTGGGAGACAGCTGTGTGATCACCCTTCTCCACAGCCTTGGCTGAGGAAAAGCAGTAGTAGGGTGTTGCTTTGCTCAGCTCGAATTTCAGCAGATTGCAGAACCTCGAGTGCAGCCAGCCAGGAGGGACCTGAGCGTTTCTGATGGCAGGAATTCTGCTTGATGCTGCCAGGAATAATTGCTAACACCTCCCCACCTCAAACCAGATTGGTGCTGGGCTGCCTCTGTGTGTTACTGATGTGATGGCCAAAACAAGCCATTAACGGCGACCTTCTTGCCTTTCAGATGCGAGTGCTTGCCGGGTTACAGCGGCAAGCACTGCGAGATCGATGATGACGACTGCGTGGGACACAAGTGTCGTCATGGAGCTGTGTGTGTGGATGCTGTCAATGGCTACACCTGTGTCTGTCCCCAGGGCTTCAGGTAAGAGGGAGGCAGCTCCTCCCCGGAATGTCCGGTGGAGTGTCGGGGACACTTTCTTTAAGTGCTTTCATGCTCAGGGCTAATCAGCCTCCAGTTACAGCATTGATCTGTCATTGCTACGTCAATGGGTGGCTCGGTGCCTCAAGTCCTGTACCTGAAGGAGGTCTTAACTGGGTCCAGGGGGCTGCAGTTCTGGCTTGGAAAGCAGCAATTTGCCCCTCGAGCAGTGCTGTATTAGTCTGCCTGCCCCAGCCTTCCCTGGTAACACACTCAGCACACGAGGTAATACACTCCCATGAATTATATGGAGATAAAGCCAGTGTGTGCAGAGCGAGTAAAGAAGAATAAAATTGCACGTATGAACCCTCAGACCTGGCTGCAAGAAAGTGTGAGTCTGAAGATTTTGTGCCAGTGTCTCGGTGCCTCTTGGTGGAGGAGCTCAGTGTGATTTGGGCTGTAAATTTCCAGTCTCTCGTTCTGACAGCTGCCAATATATCTGACTCCTGGAAATCTCTCTGTCTGTCAAAGATAAGTGTGCTCCTCCAAATGGATTCACTAATCATTGCCTGAGGCTGGATACTGGCTTCCTTCCAGCTAAACCTTGTCTGTGTTTGAAATACACACAAGACAAAGAAGGAATACCTGAAAAGATCAGTCTTGACAAAGCAGAAATTGCGTGAACACTTATAAATCATTTTCTCTTCTTTGTATCTGCAACTGTTTTCATTCTTCTTGCTTTCATCCTTGCTGGTTTGGGGTTTTTTTCCCCTCTCAACACACATTTTTGTTCCATAGCAAACAGCCTTCCCTGAATAGGCATTGATATATAGCATGATGTCAGCCCATGGTTTCGCTGAATCAGGCTTGTTATTTACAGGGTATCAGATATCCTCTGAATTTCAAATTCATGCCCTTTTCTCCATGTTTCACTCTCTGCTTCAGTCCATTTGGGGATCTTGCAGATTGGTGACTGGTAAGGCTAACATGTGACTCTCCCACAGTGGGATTGTAAATCCTCAGTGTTATCTAATTGTTAGAGTTGAGAAATGGGATTGCAAAGCCGTGTCTGGAGTCAAGGGTAACTTGAGCCTGTCATCAGATGGAAGTGACTGGGAGGCTTCTGCTGCATGTCCCCTGATTTTCAGGGCCTGTCAGTACTAGGCAGTGATGAATGTGAGGGTTTTTTTCCAGGAAAGCAGAGTCACAGTGTTTGGCAGAGATGTTTTGAGTTGTGACACCACTGGGTGGAGCAGCAGGGGTCCCTTGCCATGTACCAAACAGCTCTACTGGCAATTTAAGCAGTGCCCCAGCTTGACTGGTCTCACCCCATGGGCTTCCAGAGCAGAACAAGAACAGCCCAGCATTGCTCAAATGATGAGGTTTCATTCCACTAAAAGTCCTCCAAGTAGAAGAAACATCTTTCTGTACAAAACTCCAAAACTCAGCTTAGACAGCACTTCATAGCCCAAGGCTATGTGGGCAAGCAAAGTAATCCTGCTGCCTGTCAACAGCACAGCCAGGATTAACTTGAGTTCTCCTCTTTGCTTTATTTTTTTTCCACTAGTCCATGCCACCTCCCTAAATTTCCTATGCAAGATGCAAGGGAGACAAGGGTCTTTTGGGAGAAAAAGCCCTACCATGTTCCCTCTGCCAAGGCACAGAGCAAGCTGGAGCCTGTGTGTTCTCCATGCAGAATAGTCCCTGATCTTGTTTGATTTCAGGATTAAAATTCTGCTGACAAAATATGATCTCATTATTCTTCCCATGATTCCAGCCTTTTGTAGTTTAAAGGCCTCTGCTGCTCTGAAGGGGGTTCTGAGGTTTGGGTTTTTTCCCTGTTAAGATTACAATTGCAAATATGGTGATTGACAGAGTTCAGCCTTCTGATGTTCAGGGTTACAGACTCCCCTTTCTCAGAGCTGCCTCGGGCATGGGGTTGTGTGGCAAGGAGATAACTGCAAGTGTTTGAAGGCTGCAAGTGTTGATGAAAAGGAGAGAATGTAAGGAGTGGTCTGACAAAGGTAACTAGAAGACCTAAGATGATGATTAATGAAGTTTTTTTGGCTAAGTATCAGGAATCATTTCCCAGCAGTGAGCTTGCAGAGTGCCCTCCCAATTATCCAGAGCTTATGCTGTTGTAATAAATGCACAGACCTATAATAATTTTATGGTTGTCACTGCACTGTATGTCAAAGCCACTTGGAGCCATGTATTAATAAGGATGTTAAAACTTACACCCTCACAGGGCTGAACAAATGGCACTTGGGTGACTTTTAACAATGTAGGTAGGGCCTCACACACAGTGAGTGACACCTCTCTGATGACAGCCCCAAAAAGCAATAGTGCCAACATGCACACACTTGCTTTCCCATCTTACCATTTCCAATTCACTGGTCAGATGTACTTGTGCTCCTCACAGCACCTTTCCTTAGCACTCAGCAACCTCTTGCAACTTCATAACATACTTTCATCCTGCAGAGTTTTCGGTGTTTTCTTCCCAAAATAGCATTCATTTACCCCCTGCAGATGAAAACATTTTAGAGAATTTGTGAGCCCTGCTTGATAAAACCCAAGTTCTCAAAGCTTCCCTTCAGCAATCAGCCTCACAGTAGTGTTGCCTGGTAAATGCTGCTCTGGTAGGGAAGCACACATTAAGCTGCAGAGCCTGATGGAAGCACTGCTCCTCCATGGTGCAGATGCTTCTGAGTTCTCCACTGGGACAGATTGCTGCGAGAAACTCAGCAGTGATTATTTAAATAAAGGAGATTGTACCAGGCAGAATGGACTTGGCCGTGTCAGGCTGTGCTCCACATTCCACTGGTGAGAAAATAAGTCACATTAATTATTTCTAAATATGTCCTTTTAAAAATACTGAAAACGAAAAGGGCTTGACAGACACTGTTGCTACTGTCATTTCTAGGTGCCAGTATCAGGACAGAAGCATTGGTAAAGCCACTGACTGAAGGGGTTTCAGAGCAAGGAAGATTGTGCAGGAGCCATACCAGGAGCTTCAGGGAATCTTTCAGAGCAGCACCAAGCACAGACACACTGGCTTCTTCCAACATTTGCTTTCTGTTAGTGGAGGCTGTTGTGGGTCGCGTGGATTTTTTTATTATTATTATTTTTAACTTCCGTGAAATTAGAATTTTATACACTGAATTTTCCTTCTGTTTTCCCCTTGCTGCTGAAGACAAAACAGAACAATGGGCATTAGGCAGAACCAAGCTCAGGGGCTGGGTTAGCAGTGCTCTGTTTTGCTAGGCACCTCTGGGAAGCAATTCCAGCTGAGCCCAGGCCAGGTGACAGCCACCTGTGGGGCTGAGCCTGGTCTGATCCCTTTGCTGGCTCTCCTGATGTGTTTTCCAGCCACAGATCCCAGCCCTGGAGAGGGAGATTACACACCTAATGAAACCAGGCTGCTAATAGAAATATGCTCTGGTCAGACAGTCCCTTCCATGCCTGGCTGGCAGTGGGGACATGGCACTGATGTGTCCCCAGCTCACCAGCTCTGGTGGGTCCGACTGCTGTGCTGGTAGGAAATGCCACAGTAACTACCTTAGACTGGCAAGAATTGCTTTCTGTGTATCTTCTCATGAGATTGTTCCTTTTTTTTTTTTTTTTTTTAAATATTCTCTTGTTTTCTTGGAAAGGGGAATCCAAGCCATCTCTTGCTGAGTGGTGCTGTGCCCCCGAGGTGCTGTGCTTACCCTGCAGGAATGGGGGGGGCCTGTGGGCATCTGCCAAGGAGCTGCAGCAAATGATCTTGCCTCAGAAGAGAAAGTTTCTGATCTATAAGTAATTCATAGTTTAGGTGTGTCCACAAACACATGTTCCCAAGAACAAATTTACTTTGAGAAACACATCAGACTGAGCAAAGACAAGCATTTCCCAGTGTGCTGGGTTCACCCTGTCTGTGCTCACCAAAGGGGAGAGAAAATATAATGAAAGGCTGTGGGGTGAGATAAGGGCAGGGAGAGATCACTCACCAGTTACCATCACGGGCAAAACAGACCAGACTTGGGGAAACTATTGACAATTAAGTCAGAGTAGAGTAATAAGAAATAAAAACTAAATCTTAAAACACCTTCCCCCCAAAGCTTCCTGCCCCTCTGAGCAGTGAGGTGGGAGTGGGATGGGCTGTAAAACATCACTTGTCCTTGTGATGAATAAGGGAAGTTTAGGGCAATACAGTGAGAAAACTGTTGAAATGCAGTTTATCCTGAAAGTACCCAGAGGTGGTTCTGGATGAGAAGGAAACTTCTGTGTGTTTGTATACATGAGTGATGCCAAGCCCGAGTGATGGCAAGGCTGGAATGGGATGGTCCCTACAGCCTGTGCTCCCAGGGCAGCAGCCAGAGACCAGCACAGCACTCTGCTTCAGGCCAGCAGTGGGTTTCACCCCCCTTGTGCATATTCTCATAGAACAGACTTTTTTTTTTGCCTTACCCACATCACCATGTACAAGGCTAACATACAGATTTGGACAAGGTTAGCATGGTGGTAGGATATTCCATGCTTTATAGTGGCTGTGGGGAAAGGAGAGCTTTTCTGGCCTTCTCCCAAGTCCAAATCCCAAATGTTTGCATCTTTCAAGGTATTCTTCAAGATTGCCTTTCATAAAAATGAGACCCTAGGTCTCTGCTGTCGGACATCACAGAAAAGCAGAGCAGCTCCACTGCCTCTAATGCAGTTCAGGATTTATCCCATCTATATTTTGTTGTGTATTTCTCTCTCATGTTTCCCAGAGGCAGACCAGAGAGGGAAAGGTTTTGTGCTCTCACTTCCACAGAGGACTAAAGATAGAGCCATTGTGCTCTGTGCAAAATTTAACATGAGAAAACATAAAAGAAAAACAATCCTCTGCATTCCCTGCTGTTACAGAGGCAGCAGGTTCTGGCTGCTCTGGCTGAGCAAGCTTGGTCTGGAGTATGTTGTGGCTGGTTTATTTGCTGTTCTTGCATGTCTTGTAGCAGTGCTATTTACTGAAGGGCCATGGCTTGGGTTTCCATTCTAATTGTATCTAGGAACGCTGCCTAGAAATTCCCTGAGCTTCCATGTCTCACCTGCCTTGCTGGAGAGGAGTGAGGGTTCTGGCATTTTTGTGCTTTGTTTTTATAAGAGTGCTATTATTCCACAAAGTGCTCCTCATGGGACAAGTGGGATTGCAGGACTGGGCTCATGGTTTATTCACTGCATGAATGGGTGTGCCACAATCCTCTCCTGGAAAACCCCCTGCCCCATGCTGGTGAATGCTGTGCAACACAGAGAGATGGTGTGAGAGCCCTTGCTTACGGCCCTCACCACAGCTATCCATCCCCATGGTGTTCCCTGCAGCTGTCTCCATGGAATTACTCACAGCTGTCCATCCCCACCATGTTCCCTGCAGCTATCTCCATGGAATTACCCACAGCTGTCCATCCCTACAGCATTCCCCACAGCTGTTCTGCCCCATGGTGTTCCCCACAGCATGTTCCCTACCCACCAGCTTGTCATCGTTTTTCCGCCTACATGTTGACAGGCAGTCAGAGGACTTGATGCAAAGAGTCTGTGTGCTCTCATCAGTACAAAAAGGGTTTGTTGGGTTTGTGCAGTGGCTGTAATGAGGGATTTGGGGTATTGCAGGGCCCTGCCATGTGCAACCAGCCTGCCCCAGCCCCTCTGCATACCCATCGATTGCACAGGCCAACTGGAGGTACCAGGTAGAGATTTTTCGTTTACTTTTTGCAGTTCGGTCTCACACATGACTTCAGTGTGAAAGAAGACTGCAGCTTTCTGCTCTTTCTCCCTTTCCCCTGCCCTTACACAGTGTCAGTGCCCCTCTGTGGCTGAGCCCTGTGGAATGTGCAGCAGCTGACCTGGGAGGGCAGCCCAGGGCCTGAGCCATCACTGATCCTCGGTGTCCTGGCCCCAGCCTGGGAGGTCAGAGGTTCCCACACACGGGCTTTGCTCAGCCTCTCACACAGTCAAGTCAGAAGCACAGCGCCTTCCTCCAGATCTCAGTGTGATTCCGCTTCAGATCTGGCATTTGGTTTTCAGCTGCCTCTGACTGGGGGAGAGTTTCCTTTCCTTTGCCTGATCCAGGACATTGCCAATCACAAACTCGGCTAACATAAAGTTAACGATCCCGCTGATGTTAGAAACTATCAGTTCAGGAGAGCTGCCCAGCAGACAGTGTGGTGGCAGTGCACTGCTGCTGATGCCTTTAGCAGTTGTCCATCTGTTGGTGATACACTCTAATATACAGTAAACAAAGTGAGGGGGCTGTAAAACCCACTCAAAACAGAGGTGTTTGCCACTTACAACAGCAGAATAGACTCAGATCACAGAGCCAAAGATGAGGAAATCTCAGGTTTGGGTTTAAATGGCTACAGATATTGCTGGGAACCTCTGCAGGGCGCTGTGTGGGTGGAAGCTATTTCAGACAGGCTGTGGTACCTTGCAGAGCTAAATAACCAGTGCAAAGGGCAGCATAGATTGCTTTCAGTATCTGAACTGGCTCATTCAGGGCCAGCACAGGGATTTCTGACAGCATTAAGCTGTAAAGCTTTCACACAGCACAGCAGGCACATGGTAGCTGAACCTCAGTAGCAGTGTGATGGCAGCATCTGAAAACGCTTCCTTCCCTGAAAAAAATGGTGATAACCGAGGGTGGCTTCTTCTTTCCTTTACTTCTACAGTGGACTTTTCTGTGAAACCCCTCCGCCCATGGTCCTGCTGCAGACGAGCCCCTGTGACAACTACGAGTGCCAGAACGGGGCCCAGTGCATCGTCGCCCACCACGAGCCCGTGTGCCGCTGCCTCGCCGGCTTCGCGGGCCAGAGGTGTGAGAAGCTCATCACGGTCAACTTCGTGGGGAAGGACTCGTACGTGGAGCTGCCATCAGCCAAAATCCGCCCTCAGGCAAACATCTCCCTCCAGGTGTGTCAGGCAGAGCAGCCCAATGCTCCTCTAAGCAGTAACACCCGCTGTGTTTTGCAACCAGGGGCTGTCGGCCAAGATGCTGAAAAAGTCAGAGTCAACTTGTGAGCCCCACCTTGTCTGCTCTAAAATTATTAACATAGGAAGGAGCAACTGAGGCACTGGTGCACCTTTGTGGGCACACATCCTGCCTCCAGAATCTTGCCACTCTCTTAATTCCCAGACTGGCATTCCCATCCCACGGATGATTCAGGAAGCCTCCGTGTCTTCTTACTGATTCACGGCTTTGTGCTTCATCCTGTGGAAGTTAAGTGTTGAATGTTAGGACACTCAATAAAAGAGGCTGCTCTAAATGGCCTCTCCAGATAATATTTTGTTTACTCTTTTGCTGTGCACATTCAGTCGATAAAAGGCCTGGGGTTTTGTTACAGGCCTGTCATTACACCTAAATTTGGGTTGATGTTTAAGTTCAGAAGGCAGTTGAAAACAGATATCAAAGGTGCCAGGGCACTACTGTCATCGTTGTGGTTGTGGATCAAAAGTATCTTGGATACTTACTCCACTATGATATTTAAGTGATTTGAAATTGCATTCACAGTCTAGTAAGCATTAAACTGATTTTTTCCCCCTTAAATTTCAAAGTAAGTGAGGGAATAATTTCTAGTTTTGTATGTTTTCTAATAAAAAGATGGTTATAATTAAAATAGCAATGTCAACACATGGGAAAGAGGACCAAATTTCCACATTAGGAATAGATTTTTAAAGGGTGGTTCCTGTAAAGTTTATATTAATGACAAAATTCCGTAAGTAATATTTATCTTTTCTTTAATAGCTTGAGTATGCTGTTCATATGAAAATGAAGCTGATTCATGTGTATTTGAAACTCCAGCTTTTCTTGAAAACCCTCTATTATTTAATATTACGAAAGAGATTTTAAAATACAGACACTCTAAAATATGGCTCCCAAAAGGCTCCAAATACTGTAGGTCTACTTTAAAGCTGGAAATCTGAACAAAGCACATTACATCAGCTGTAGCTTCAAGAATAAAACTGATTCTTACAGAAAGCACATGCAGATGACATTCTCACTTCTTGTTTCCCAGGCTGGATATTATTCTTGCATCCAGTAATTAATTACTAGTGAATTAAAATTAGAATACAACATTGATTATTAAAAACAGATAGAGGAAATTGTATTAAAAAGTTCACAAGAAAAATAAAAGCTTCTAAGGGTAAAAGGATAGTATTTAAATATATGTATGAATCCAAACAGATTTTTAAATTTGCTGTTTAGTTTTTGCATTTAACAGCCATTATAAAAAAAAAATATAAAGAAAACTCAAGAAATACGTGCTGTCCTTCTTTCCTTCCTCATGTCCACAGCAAGCCTGGGAGCAGCTCAGCACCTCCTGGCTCTTGCTCTCATTGTCGCACCTGTACACGAGTTATTAAATTATACTTGAATTGCACATGTGATTTTGGTTTGATTTTTTTTTAATGTAGGCTTATTTCTGTTTTAATCATTCCCAAGCAACCTTACCTGGTTATTAATGTTTCACAGGTAGCCACGGACAAGGACAATGGCATCTTATTATACAAAGGTGACAATGATCCTTTGGCTCTGGAGTTGTACCAAGGACACGTGAGGCTCATCTATGACACACTGAATTCCCCACCTACCACAGTATACAGGTAAATAGCTGAGCTTTGCCAAGACAGTTGATTTCCAAAATAGGTGGAGAAGAGGCAAGATTTTTCTAAGAAATGTGCATGGGAGAAGAACCTTTTATTTTACTTCGAGGTGTATCTTTCATGCATGTAATTAGATAAGAAAGTTAGAATAAAGACTTAGCTAGAGGCTGCATGGTTGAAAATTGAATTTATTGGCAATACCAGTGATACTGTGTCCTACTGTAATTACAGAAAAATCTATTTTTTGGTAAAGATTCGGTTTCTGGTGAATTTTGTCCTTGAAATAGTTCCAATTAATCAGTTTCTTTGTTGATATCTAGTGTTAATTTACTGTACTAACACAGAACAGTGACTGTGCAACTGCAGGGTTAGACTGTCATATAGGAGGAGAAGGGCTGAATTCCTCTCTAGGGTGAATATTGTTAGAGGAACTCTTGCCTGTATCAGTAGTGACTACACAAACCATGAAAAAGCACAAATTGCAAAGGTAAGTTGTAGGGTAATTTGACCTTCAGACACTTGGCTTCTGAGGATACCAAACCCACAGGTTTCATTCATGAGTCACAAGATAGAAAAGCAAATGTACAGGAGAAATCCATGCACAGAGGTGTTTCTGGAGTAAAGAGAGTTGTGCTGCTCTTGTCATCCATGGTTCCTTCAGCAACCCTCTCCACAGGTTAACTCCCTGCTCGTTATTTTTAGTCCCTGTTGCTCCAGTTTGTTCTGGGTACACATGCAGCTTTGACCACGTGGTGTGTTTTGGGTTCAGCACAGATTCATGGCATTGGAATTCCCAGCCCACCTCACTCATCCTGCAGGAAGAGCATCCTATTAGAGCAAGGGACAGGATGGATGCCACCACATATCACCAGCCAGGACAGGCCTTCTGCTCTTTCCAGAAAGTTTTCTCAGTACTTGGTAAAACTTGAGCCACCTTCTTTAGGGGGAACAGTGGCTTGTTTAAGAAAATGCAAAAACTCTTTCTGTATGAAAGCAAATTGGATAATACCAATGCAGGCATGTCACCAGGAAGAGCACTGGCTTGGAATGAAGGGAGTAGTTTGCTCGTGATTTCCACCAGCTGGATGGATAGGTGTGAAAAGCACCTCTGTGTGTGGCTGCTGATCCTAATTGATTTCACGTTCAAGCAAAGCTGGAGTTGTTCAGTAGTTTTACGCCGCTAATTAGAGCACGGCGAGGCTCTTTACGTGTGGGCAGCACAGGGGTGGCAGGGGGTCAGTGGGGATGTTTGCTCACTGTTGTCATGGCAGAGCAGTGTGGTGACAAGACCTGCTGCCACCATCACAACAACAGTTCGTGGACCCACTGCCTCCTGGCAAAGCTGCCAGGGATGGTGAGCGCCGGCGTCCTCGTTATTCCCTCGCCCTTCGCATGGATCAAGGAGGAGGTCTCCATTCACACTGACACCTCATTACCATAAGATTAATGGCCTGTTCACTGCATTCTGCACTGCAGTGATCTGTTGAGATGGGAAAGAAGCTGCTTAATACGATGCCCTTTCCGAAATGTCACTCTAATCTTTTATTAGTTTAAGGAGTGGAGCAAAATGGGATTAGCATGGAGCTTGATGGGAAAAGATTAGGTTGATTGAGAAAAACTGCAGCTAAAGAATGTCAGAAAGGGCCTCTAAATAGATTAAAAGACTTGTTTTTCTTAAGGGCTGAAGAAGGAGGGGGAAATCTGCTTCTCTCCTTACAATCCTAGGATTTAAGGGTAGAAGGCATGAGTGGATCTGGTTTGACCTCCCTGTATATCCTGTTTGACTTTTAGCTAAGGTGTGAGCTCTGTTTGGCTAAGACACAACCTCCAGTTTGGCACAAGAGTTTTGACAGGAAAACACCAAATAATGGAAAATCCCCCATTTCCTTTAGCAGTTTGGACAATGGTCAATTATTTCCCTTATTCAGGCATTGGCCATCATTTCTAAGTGGTGTCACTAATACCTTCTGAATGTTTTAGAGGCTTTCTCCAGGGAAATGAAAGTCCATTTATACCTTGTACTGGTTCCCATGAGTTTATCTGTACTTTTAATTGCATTGTCCCCAACCTGCATTTTGATAAAGTGAATAGGGGATTCAGTGTGATGCATTTTATCTCAGCCTGAAGCAACTCTTTTCTGCAACTTCTACAATTCTGATTTTTCATTAAAAACAAGGTTGCTAGGAGAACGTGTAACATTCAAGTCTCAGCCTCACCATTGATGAAATAGCTTTCCTTCTCCATTGCTTCCTCCTTGCTGTTTAGATGCCTCATCTAAATTTCAATCTCAGCAAAAGTGGACTGTTTGCTTTGAGAAGCTCTGTTGAAAGACTATCAGATTAATCTTCATGGGCAATATTACGTGCTGCTCTCCTCCAAAGTAGTCCACTTCTTGTACTGGATGAGCAGGACTTTGGCTCTTGTTTTATCTCAGAAGAGTCTGCCAGAAGAGGAGGAGGCCCTAAAACACTGCCTGGTGGGAGCTGTGCCAGCTACAGCTGCAGGAAATCTGACCTGGTCCTGGGCTGTAACTGAGATGTTTTGTTGGCCTTTTCAGGTACTCCCAGGATGGGATGTGGGAAGTCATTGGCAAGCCACAGGATCTGTAATTCCTCATCAGAGTCTCCATGATAAGATTTATTAATGGTACTTAAGAACAGTAAAATTAGCAAAATACTTGGCTAATACAGATAATATCCTGTAGGGATAAGATAAAACCCATGGTTTGGGAAGCCAGCAGTGAGTAAGGCATGCTGGTGGTAGTTTTCCATAGTATTCCACAGAAGGGTGCTGGAAGGATGAAGTAGGCCACGTGTTCCAGTGCCACTCTGTGAATGCAGGTTGTCCCTGGCTACCAGGACCTGTTCCTGCATCTTAGTTGCTCCTCTGAGCAGATTGAACTGGAACTGCAGTGCAAAGCCAGTCTGGAAGAGCGCAAGATTAAGTGACTGCACATTCAGATTTGCTTTACATGTGTTCATTCCTGTGATGTGTTTGGACAGAAAGGTTAAAGTTGACAATGGACTTCTCTTTCATTGCAGTCAGATAAAGGTCAGCACAATTCCAGTGGAAACAGCTACCTAAAATACACTGTCACTTGCCATCAAGTTAGAGAGAAATGCAAGTTAATGCATGAATATGCAATGACTGAACTTTAAAAGAACTTTAAAAGAAAAACTGACTGGTCTGTTACTGGAACCCCTCACTTGTGACCCACAGGAAAATGGTTTCCTGGCTGTCATAGTAAAGCTCTTACAGAAGGCCCATTTTTGAAGCAGGATTCCTGTTTGTTGTTTCTTTTATTCTATCTAATTATTCTATAGATGCACAAATAAGAACAGAAATCTGTTTCTGAGTGCTTTACTGCCCCCCTGGTTTCTGCACTGTTGGGAGTTACTCTTCCATGCCATGACAGGCCTTGGTACCAGGCCAACAGTGAGTTCCTGAAATAAAGTAAATCTTTTACACAGATAATCTACCTCAATTTAAAGATGCCAACTGATGAGGAACGTGCTGCTTTTATTTACCACCACACTCCAATTGTTAAAAGTTTGAATTAACAAAGAGCAACTAATTCTGTAGTTGCAGCATTCAGGCATTGACACTGGAATCTGTTTAGCTGTATTCTATAGGGAGAGCTCCCTATTTTCAGTCTTTTTTCCCACAGCTATTCCTTGAGCCAGAGATAAGACCTTGTAAATTTTTCTCCGATATAATTTATGCTGCTATACAGTCATATTGATTAGGATGCTAAATTAATTCTTCCTAATAGAAATGGAAAATAGAAATTTGACACAAACTACTAATGTAATTGCCTCCAGAGTTCCCAGATTACCATGTTGCATGCAGACTCTCATATCTGGTAAAGAGCAAGATGCAGGCGTCACTGCTGTAAAATCATATGTTTTCATGCAGGGTTTGTGACAGCAGTGAAAAAGGAGGCAGTTAGGAAAAGATAAGAATTAATTATATTTGTCTTTCTGCAGAGCCTACACCCAAATGACATTGTAATTCCTTTTTAAAGTATCCTTGCATAATCTGCTTTCAAAAATGCTACATCATTAAAAATATTCCTTGTAGATTGTATCATGCAGTTCCCATGGTCTGGCTGATTCTTACATAGTGTAGATGGATGTTCTTGTGGTTAAAGCAAAAGGCCTGGAATGAGGGAGCTTAAATTCTTGCTGTATCTGTTTCAGATGTGATGACTGCAGGATGACAAATTCATTCTGACTTTATGCACACAAAAAAGTACAGAAATGCACAAAAAATAGAAAAGGTGTTTCAGAAACGTGCTGTGGCTCTCTGGAGGGTGAGGTTCCTGCTTCCTTCTCCCTCCAGGCTGTGGAGCAGCACAAGGATCTTATCCCAGCAGCATCTGCAAACTGCCTGTGCCCTTCCACTCCCTCAAACTCAGTGTCCAGCAGAGTCCCTGACCATGTCAGTGCTGAACTGACATGGACTCAAGGACTTTGGTCCTCTACTCAAATTTCTTCTGGTGCTAAGGTTGAACAGTTGCTTTTGGTGGTGGAAAAGCTTCCGCATCTTCCAAAGAGATGGAGATGGGATTTTTGTGCAATCGTCTCTTTAGCTGCAATTGCTTATCTGCAAAATAATAAAAAAAAAAAAAGCCTGGGAGGCTTCACCATTAATTCACTGCCTTCTGGGGAGGAATGTGCTGGAGGAGTGAAAGCATTAATTATTCTTAGGATCATTATTAGAGCTTGTCAAACTCAGTTTTTACCAGAAGTCTCTTTGCAGAGCACACTGCATGACTAGTCCTTTTCTTCCTAATACCTTCACAGTCTGCAGCCTGTGCTGTGCCTGTCCCTGGTGGGATGCCTGTTTGATACTCTGGATGGTCTCTAAATAGACTGTTTTTCAGAGGTTTCTATGAGACATCACCGAGCTCTTAATAATTCTGCATATTTGCAATTCATTTCATTCTCTCTATCACACTCTCTTATTTTTTCAGGTGCTCCTTAGGGATTCTGCATCAA